CCCCCCCCCCACCCCGCATTTAAAGGAGATCAGCTCTCGAAGCAACGATGCTAAAGACAGATTTGAAGACCCATCCACCCGCTGCAAAAGACTTATCAGAGGCAATGTGTGAGTCTTCTAATCGGCCATTAGCGTCATTTATTTAAGAGGAGGTCCCTCTACCTTTAGGGAGAGGGGGTCTTCTAATATGTCGATGGCTTTAAATGAAGTATTAAGTACAAAGGAAGAAGCAAAAAATAATAATACAAGTAAAAATTAAAAGTATATAGTTTTACTGAAGATGAAACAGTGACCTCATCGCTTGTATATGTATATATTTTTGAAATACAAAGATTTTACAATTGTGATTATTAGAACAAGACAAAGTCCACAGTTTGAAGCCTTCTTTTTATTTAAGAATCTAAACCAATTCACAAGACTTGATGTAATATTCTTGATTATAAGTTTTTAGAATGTTTTCTATAGTGTAATACAATAACTGTTGAGGATCACTAAAGCTTTTACAAATCTTAATTTATTGTTTAATTTGGATAGTTATTTAGACCCTGTGACAATATTCTTGAACAGATCTCACTCGATTGATATTAAATTTAGCTTAGCAATCTTGATTGTACTAATTGTGTTAAAAGAAATTTTATTGGAAGATTGAGAAAAAAAAGATGATTAGTTTCATCATTGAAAAACGTCTTTAATGTCAATATAAAAGTGTTGTATATTTAACTATAATGATCTTGCTCTTTAGCTGGTTGTAGTACAAGTGTAAGTAAATGATCATGTCCTTACTTTTTGTATAATGAGTAAAAGTATATGCGGGTGTGAGTGTGGGACGTGGTTGTGAGCATTGTTCTGTTCACTGGCACAAAGGATGTGGGTGTGGGTGTAGCTGGACAGAATAACCACACCAAAACTCATACCCTCATATAAAATAAGATACTCGGTACTTTTTGAAATTGAGAAACAAAAAAACAGAGAAAAAGTTCTGAACTCTACCATAAGCAGACGATGTTGGCAAAGAAGCAGAAACGAGATAAAATATGTGACAAAGTGCAGAAAAACGAACTATCGCACCTTATAATGAAACACAGATGAAATAAAATATTCGGTACGTGAAAAATGCAGGATGTAATTATTATTCTGTCACTTCATCTAGCTGCAGAACTGATTGTTCGTAACCTTATAGAAATCGACAGGAAAACAATCCATATCCCCTTATTGGTATATGTCGCAAATTTTCTATAGTCGCTTCATTTCAAATATGAGTCATTTATCTATTCTTCTCTGTAAACATAAACATATCTCATAGTAGGTGGGATTCATAGAATAGCTTTCTTTCGTTCTTTCTTTCAGAGAACCACAACAGAAGAGATATGAATCTAAGCAACGTCCACATATACACAGAAACATATTTATTGTTATTATTTGCAGAGCTTTTTCTTTTTATCTTAATAGCATACCGAGTAAAAAAAACGAGCGCATTATTTCATTGTCGCGAATGGCATGAAAAAGGTACGTAAGAATGTGAGTATGGATATGAATGTTTCGATGTAGATGTGGATGGACATGTATAGAAAGATGTGTGAATGAGGTTGGGTGTGTGGATGTAGGCCCGTGAATTAGGGAATCGATGAGAGCAAACAAAAGATCCGCGCTCACACCCACGTATTAAATCTACATACCCGCTATGAATAGTCCTAGCAGTGAACATATAATCATTGATCGGTTTCGTCGAAAGAAAAGAAAAGGTACGGCCCGTGTCTATAAAAGAGAGACTGTTTCATGATTCTATTCTTTGGCTTTCAAACAATATTGATTGAAATACAATTAAAGAATGAAAGAAAATTTTCAATTCCACATAAAACATGTTTTTCTGGGAATTCATTTGGCGATCGCGGTGATAGCTATTAAACTGTTGAATAAGTTGTCTTCTTTTTTTTTCTATTTAGCTTAAATCATTTGGTGGTTACCGTCTTTACTCGATGGTAATTTTGCTTCCTACCAATATTTATCAGTTTGATTTATGTGAAGTGACTGACGTATTTTTATGAATAATATTAAGCAAAAAAGAACTTTACGTAAGTGAATCACTTAGGTAACGCATACTTCAGAAAAAATGTCGAAGAATAGTCTTTGAATTATTCGTTCTCTGTTATCTCGTCCTTATCAACCTGTTTCACTAGACAAATTTGAAACTGTGAGAGCATTTGACTCAATAAAAAGTGATACAATGTGCATTTGAAATTTTCCGTCAAGTTGGAAAAAATAATACAAAATAGGAAGTAATGATAGGATGATGTCATACAGCGCTGACATCGAGAGATTTCAAATAACCTTTTAAATTTCTCAGATTACATATTTCTTAAAGAAACTATGATAGGAAGAGAACACATTACATAACCAAGAACCGGTGATCGTTTGAGTTGTCATGTCTTATTTAAAATCGATTTTAGTAGACAGCAAGTAAGTAAGAAGGATCCAATAGATTTAACTCGATACCAAAAACAGCTAGCCACACATGACTTTCATCATTCAGAGAAAACGATATATTGATCGTGTAGAATTAGTTCATTTTCATCGAATTTCCTTTTCGTCAACGATGTATTTTGCCAATTCCAATATCGCTGAATGAATTCATAATTGCGAACGAGTCTAGATCAAATATGATCTGTTGTATATAGAACAATTTATTATAATTAATTAGTTTATTAACAAATCGATAGGTTAGTATTTGAGTTAGTTAGCATCTAAGTTGGTAGGGTATGGGTGTTGTTCAATATTATGAATTTTGAAGGCTGATACAAGTGCTCTTAATCGAACAGCTGCTAATAATGCTTGATATAGCCGATACAGAATCGAATTATGTTATTAATAAACTCATTTTGTTAACCAATTAAAGTTATGAATGTTTTACAATTGCTTACACTCAAGCATATCTGTTTCGTCTGATTGCTACCGTTAGATAATTGCATTGTGAACTTTCTATTAACAATGATTATTCGCCAAGAGCTTTTAGTTACTCTGAATAAATGATCATCGACAAGCATGTATTAGATTCATGTGATCACCATTACTCATGGTGCCGATCAATGTTTTGCTAATCTTCCACATGATTATACGGCAAGTCAAAACTCTAAAGTCCTACACTTATTTCTTTAAAAAAAATCAGAAAATTTTTACTCAATTCCATGCCACTACTATCTGTAGATGCTAATATTGATTTCTTCGCCAAAATATCATAAGTCAACGAGATCTACATACTTCTTATTAATTGTGTGAGAAAATGTAACATGAACTTTTAACATTTTATGCTTTATATAAATAGGACAATCGACTGAATACAATGTTGTTGTAATTAATTCGAATTTAAATGATCATGTCATGATTATTTTTAGTAATTTTCAAATTACTCATCCACTGCATCTTTATGGTCATTTATTATGTTTGCTCTATGTTTAAAATCGCGATAGAGTGGCTTAAGATGAACCAGTTATGTTCGATTCAATTCATGACTGAAACAAGTTCAATTTTATGTATCCAGTCTATCATTATATGCAACAATTACTAGAACTTATTATGATTAATCATGGTTCTAGTCTATTCCACTATCATCTTGCCTGGAATATGAAAGCTTTCATGTTGGTCGTTTTCAATGTTTACACTACTTACAATTCATTTCTATTATCTGATTATTCCCAAAGCCTACTAGTTAAGTTCATGAGCTGTCGAGTAACAAAGCTCAATGAATATCTGTTTTGCTCTTTGTAATCATATTCGTATGTATTCATGTCTTGTGAAAGATATCATTTTGTATTCCTTAAAAATATGAACACGACATATTCATTATAATCATAATTCATTTTCTTATTTATTTATGAAATTCTAGGTTTTTTGAAGAAAATCTTCACAAATCACTGGAATTCTTTTTTTTTCTATTTTTTAGATTTGCACGTTTGAACTGTCGAACGTCAATATTATTCTATATTTAATAATAACTTATCTTTCGTGTCTTTTTTGCAATAACAATCACAGGGAGTTTAAATATGAAGAAATCTAATATAAGATCGCTTTTTAACAATTTGATAATCCTCCTTCAATACATTTTCTTGATCGAATTTTATGCTCAATTAATGCAATGCAAAGCATAGCTTTCATGTAGTCCTACGCGAATTCTTTTTTACTTACTTAACGTTTTACGTACGCATCAAAACTTACCATTTATTAAGCGAGGATCTTGAGAATTGAAACCCAAAGTATCGAGATCGAACCAATACCTTTTGTTTGGTTATCGTTATGAACACGTTTCATTATTTTATGAACAGCTCCCGAAAATGACGAATATGAGACAATTTTGCCTTTTTTTGAGATAATTAAAATCGAAAATATCAAGGAAAGTTAGGCGCCACTCTTTTTTCTTATGTACCAATCAAGTAGGAATACAGCTGATTATAGCATAAATAGCTTCACGAGAAGGGCTACTCGACATTGATGCGGCAATCAAGTATTCGTTTCTTTTTCGAAAACTCAAGATTTGTGCTTTCCACCGCATTTCGTATTCTAGTTAGAATAGCTAAGCAAAAACAGTAAACTCTCATGCATCAAAACAAGAAATTCTAATCGAATATCAAGAAAGGCTTCAACATAGTAAATATACGAGAAATTTTTCATATGTTTTAAATGTTTGTTTTGTTTTTGAATTTCGTCTTATGAGAGCAATTTTGTATGAAGTATAATAGTACAGGCTAATAGAAAGATGTTTCGTCCAACATATTTATATAGACTAGTAGTTTATTCTTATTAATTGTAGATTTATTAGAATCACTATGTCTTTTACAAAAATATATCGTGAATATGGCAATTGGGTCGGTCTTTTATTTCTAATAATCGAATCGATTTTACTTGGAGGAAACATTTTTGGCTTTTCGGCTCTCTTTGATATATTGCCAAAATATGGTATCTATTCAAATTTGTGTGTTAATAAAAGTGAGACAAACACTTCGAATATAATGAATGAAACAATTAATCTCCATTGTGACCCGCGAACAGAGCAGTATAAGGTATGTATAAACAGAAAACAATGATTAGTAAATCATTTTCAAATATAATTTTCTAGCTTGCTCTAACTGTTGGTATTTGGTTTTATAATCTAATGCCATTCTTTATTGGACTTTTGATCAATTATTTCGGAAGTCGTTTTGTTAAACTTGTCGCCGCGTAAGTTGGTTCGATCTTTAAAAACATGAGACCAAATTTTTTTTTGTAGACTTTTTCATATAGCTGGATGGCTTACTTTAGCTTTTGTGGAACCAGGTATAAAATCTATGCTAATATTCGATCACTAAATAAATTGTTATATTTGAATTTTAGGTAAAGATTATCTTATATTCCTTCATACTATTTTTACGTCGATTTCGTCGGCCATCATTCTCATAACTGGCTTTGCCTATTGTCGTTATTTTGGTGATGGTGTTCGTGCTGTTATTTCTTCAATAGTTTCTGGTGCATCGATCTCGTCGACAATGTGGTTTTCAATTTTTCAAGTAAATCATTGAGAAATGCACAAATATTGTTATCGATACTTTTCATAGGTATTGATCACCGATGAGAGAATCAATCTAAAAGTACTTTCAATTATATGGACAACTTTTGTTCTGATAATGATCATTACTGCTTGTTTCTTCATGGATTGGGAATTTCGATTCTTGAACTTACCATATAAATTTGTCACCAGTTCCAACACAAGCGAAACACCGACAAGATCTGTTGGTAAATAAATTATCATCAGAGAATCAATAGAATATGAGAAAGTTATTGCATACTTGTTCTAGATAATAGAGAAGAATCGAATATGAACAAAATGACTTGGTATGAACGCATACTGAAGCGTGTTGGTGTATGGGAGCATTTATTGAGTCCAGTTTACATATTAGTGGTACTCTACTTGAGTTTTCTTCTTTTACCAGCAGTATTTCAACCTGTCACTTGGTTTCCATGGGTAATGTATATCACGAATGATAATGAAGATCTTTGTAAGTTTCGATTACACGCTGAACCGAATGCACATTAACTGTTTACTTAGCCAACAAATATACATTAATATTCAATTTGTGTGCTACTACTGCTCTGGTTATTTGTCCATGTAGTGGTTTTTTGCTTGATTTCGGAACAAAAAATAGTAAGACAAAAAAAAATCTTCATTATAGTGAATAATAATGAATATTTTTTCTTTCAACGAAGATTATAGACGACGAATCCTCAATATTGCATTAATGCAAACAATCACATGGTTTATGGCTGTAGCGGTATGCATCATTCGAATGTTCAATACGGAGGGTTGTATAATAGCTGCGATAGTTCTCAATTCCATTCAACGTGCACTTATTGCTAGTGGTTGTCAAGCTGTTGTTGCATCTTTGTATGTATCAAAAAAACCTTAAATAACAGTTAGATATTCATGCAAAAAAAATGCATAAAAATTAGAGAGAAATCGATTTTCATACTTAAAGTCATAATAGTCAATTAAAGTTCACTTTTGCTTTAAAATCGATGAAAATTTCTTACATGTTTTGTATAGCTTAACCCTTCAAAGCCGAAGACACTTTTTCTTCCAATAGGAGGAAGCTAGTTCCCAAAATAGAAATTATGGATCCTCAGTTTACTCGTCCGATAGTTAAAAAAATTACCCTGCTTTTCTAGCGAAGATATAGAGCACCCTTTAGGGGTCCTATTCGGTCTTATAAGAGACGGAAAGATCGTTATTTGGATCTGAAATTTTGCCCATATGTAAGCTTCATAGTCCTCAACTCATCCTGAAATTTTCACGCAAAACGGATGTTTCCTTGTTGAGATATTTGATACCCAAAAAAATCGGTCAAATTTTGCAAAAATCTGCACAAATCTGACATTTTTGCAAAGTTCTGTATCTCGCGAAGGAAGCAACCTTTTTTTACTGAAAATTTCAGAGCATTCTAAATATCATTGGAGCTATGTATGAGCAAAGTTTCAAATTGAAATTCTTTTGTTTCGACCGTTATTTGAGGGCTAAATATCCTATACAAGGGGGCTTTTCTTTGCCGTGGCACAGTTTACTAATAGAGTGATGAAAACTTAGCGAAGTACGATCATCAGATACCTGAGTACTACGTTTACAGATATTCAGTCAAATAAACAAGGCTGCATGTTAAATTTCTGATCAAACAAAGATTTTAGCAAAAACTGTGACTTTAGAAAAATCATCAGGTGTAAAACGGCTACTGTTCTGTCCGAAAATCACTTGGAAATTATGTTTTGATCCCAGTATGGCTTCCAAGATCCTGTTGATCCAGAAAAATATTGGTTTCTTTCTGCACGGTCTTTTTGCAATTTTTATTGCAGTTATAGCAATATTCACTGGGGTGGACATTCGGCTTTTAAGGGTTAATACTAATTATAAGTAGATTAAGTTGATATTGAATATTGTCTGAAGACTACAGAATCAGATTTCAATGTCTTTGCAAACTGTCATGTAAATCGAATTTAATCCAATATATCATTTAGCTTTCATTTGTGAATGTGTTTTATTTAGTGTTCATGACAATTTATACTTCAAGAAAAAATTTCAAAACTCCCTTGACTTTTCGATCTAGTCTCTTATAAAATGAAGCGTGAAATTTTCTGCTCACGTTCAATTATTCATTTTGTTTTTGGCATACATTAGAGAAATCGGTTAAAATCCAATAGTCGATTATAAGCGAATTAAGTCGTAAATAATCCTTTCTCATCTTACTGTTGTTATTTCAATGGATTAATAAATACTTTGTTTAATATGATTTGATTTTAATCGATCTCTAATATAAGTGTTCCGTATAAATTTGAAACAATTTATATATGAAAGATTCTGGGAAAATTAGAATTTTCTGTTTAAATTCGAAGAAAAACACTTAGCTTCGATGAAAATGACTAAAATTGATTAACAGATAACAATAGGTTCAAAACGATTTAATAGATAATAATGGATTAAAATAAATAATTAGAGAAATAATAGATTAAAACTAATTAAAATAATTTAAGATTGCAAAAGGGACGAACCAAGATTATGATGAAATTTAAAAATTTAATTGACTTGAATCATTTCTTTGTGATTAAAAATCGACTCAAATCGGATTTTTCTTCCGATTTCATTTACATGAGCTAGCACGATTATCGAATCGATTTATCCAATGATGTTTTATTGATCAATAAAGATCAAATAGTTCGTATAGAATCGTTCTTTTTTCATTATAGTTTTCCAACCGAATATATTGGCACTTTAAGTGGTGTTTTGTGGACAACGGCTGCCATATTTTCTTCCATACAATATGGTCTTTTACCACTTACTGTAGATGTGGGTAAAAGTTGGCGAGTAAGTGTATTATAAGAACGATTCGATTAAACTTAACAAGAAATCATTTAGGCATGGGCAATTATTTTGGCTCTTATCGTAGTTATGGCTTGTCATTGGATACACATGTGGTATAAGTTTTTCACATCACGTTCGAATGTTGTGGAGCCTAACAATGAGATACCATTGCAGGAACGTCAAGGCAATGGCAATGCTCAACACTTGGCCTATGACAATGAGATAACGAAAGAGGATTCAACTGAATTTTGAAGCCGACATTAACTTTTTTCTCTTTCTATTCTAGTCTCAGTTATAAAAGGTGTTGCAGAAGTCCTTTAATAATTTTAATTTTCATATAGAATCACGATTGAACGTTATAGAGATAACATCGTTTTCTGTTTTTAGGAAATAACAATGTTTTTGCTATTTAAATATATAAAAGAACTTAATCGAAGTATGCTTTTGAAATCTAACAAAATCGTAGAATAAAACCGTGCCCATAGCGAGCGTGAATTAAAATAATCGAATTTAAATATATTCACAGCTTTAGTATTGAGATATGACAATATGAGAACGGTTCGAATCCAATGTTTTTACAGAATAATTCGATTTTTTGAAGGTATGAATTTTCAAAAAACTTGCAGAAATTCATCGAACACATTAGCAAAAGACAAGATTCAACTTTTTCTAAAATTGCACGTAAAATATTGAAGACTATGTGAATTGATAGACTACATTGGGATTTATGAAGCTATTCATATATCCCGACATAATGAAGACAAGAAAAAATAAATCTAAATAATTATTATGAATAAGATTTTGAGATGTTGCAACGAGACCACTAATAAAATAGTTTAACGAACATTAAAAAATCGAGTAAAACTAATGGTCAATATGTAAGCAATTCCATTAAGCTATGTCTTTCTAATTAGTACTTACAAATCACAAGTAAGTGAGTATTCCAAGTAAAATTCTCTCTTATATTCTTTTGTGACTATTGTTTGAGAACACATTACTCTATTAAATAAAAAAACCTTATAGTAAACATCAGGGAACATCTTCATTTAACGAGAAAAATTTTTGAGACGCACACTCAGCTACAAGAGCTTATGAAATTTTTGCTTCGAAGTAATTATTTGAAGTTTTGAATTCATTCCAATTTAGTTAATTTACTGAACTCCGTAGTCAGCAGGAGTTTTACTTTTTACTTTTGTGTCACTATAACAGTAAAATTAACCCCTTGATAACTCTTCTATATACATTCTCATCACTACAGTAATGACATCAGAATCCTTTTTAGTTCTTGTTTCTGCTGAATAAAAAACTTCGTAGGATAAAAAAATTCTATTTATGATCTTTCCACATTGATTGATTGTTCCTTAGTGGCGGTCATTATTAATTAAATTTATACTTTGTCTGTTTCGAACACTACATTTTCTCTGCTATCTGGTATGTCTTGGTAAAATACATGCTAAAAATAGAAAAAAGATACAAATATATCTATGATGAACTACATTTTTCAATAATTATTAAATTTTATTATGATAAAATAACTTAGCAAAAACCTAGAGCGATAGAATACATTAAGAAGTACACTATGATGCATTTTGACATGATTCAATAGTCTAATGCATTCACTCTTGCAGAAATAACCTTCGACATTAGCAGTATTTGATTTAAGAAAACGAAATGTTTTTATAGCGAAGTTTTTGAAAAAACATAGACCAGACAGTAAAGAAAAATATATGTCCACCAGACTAGACTGCGTCAGATTGGTTGTTAACCGTTACCGGCTAAAACCCTGATTTCAATATCTCGTGAACAATTTTTCATGCATGATCAGATAAATCATTTAATGTACTTGCACAAACTCCGTCGATAGTTGCTCCAGTATCTGTTATATTCTCAAGAGTTTTCATTTAGATTTCTATCTTTTCAAGTGATAATTTTTAACTATCCATCAATTATGCATAGTGGACATTTTTCATTGTATCAAACATAGAGTCCATGAGGTGTTTTTCTTATTGCTTCGCCGGTTCAACATATTTGAAATCATACAGCAGAAAGAAACTGTGTTCAAACATGAATTTAGTAGCGCCATTCAGTAAGTATGAATCTCTGTATGGATGCGATCATTGTCAAATACTGGTATTACAACATGATACATTCATGGTTTGGCGAAGTTTTCCCATT